TGTAGAGTAAGGTCCGAACTATCTATGCATGCAAAAAAATTACTAACATTGTATGTTAGTTTTCTGAGAACGGAGCTGGTTTTTCAAAGATCCTCTGGAAAGCCGATCTTTGAAATTTTTTCAAAAGTTGTTTCGCTTACGAAAGTTCCTCTCAAGTCTTGGCTATCGAATAACGAAAATTGCAGGTCTCTATCTCATTCCTATAAAAAGTTATTCAAAAAACAGTCGGCCGCACTATATTTTGGCGTCGATAGTAGTCAGGAAACAAACTCTAATTGAACGTGATTCCGATTAAGTTTTATAAAATGACTTATTTATTCAAAAGGAAAAAAAGTTGAAAAATAATAAAGTGTATGTTGAGACCGACATTTTACGTTATTCATTATTATGAACAATTTTTATGTCACTTAGTCAACATGACATCTTTAATGTGTGGGAAGTGTTAAACCACAAAATGTGACGTTTTACATTGAAATATGTTCATAGTATTTTGTATTAAACTAAAAAATTATTTTAATTTTATATTTTTCTCTTATTGAAAATAGTCGATTTAGATAATAGTCCAGTTTTCTAACATTAACTTTTTCTATTATTTTATAGATGAAAAAGGTTTTTGAATTGTACTCACCCTTTCTCAAATATGTAAACAATTTTATTCAACTAGACAAATCTCTAACATTTTATAATTACATTAAGAAACAAAGGCATCCGCTCAGTATTCTCTTATAATGTTAACTAAATAAACTTTTGAACTATTTCAAAAGATACCGTTTTCAAAAAGAAATTAAGAAAAAAAAATATGTCAATACTGTCTGTGTTAAATTGTCATGCAACCAAGTTCCCAGTAGAATGTAGAAAATTAGAAACAAAAACAGTAACAGAGATATATTTGTGTATAGTGATTATGAACTATACACATATCTTTTACTAACTATACACTTATAGTTAGTTGATTATAATACATCAATCACTTTAATGAGCATTGCCTAATGAATGATGAAAATGCCATAAATATAAAATTGAAAATGTAAAGAAAGAAAAATTAATAATTTTTTTTTTTTCTTCTTCTCCTTCTTCTTTCTCTTCTTCTTCTACTTTCTCTCCTTCTTCTTCTTTTTTACTTTCATCATCTAAGAGACAATTAATGCGATACACTGGTGAAAAACATATATTAATTTTCATTGAATAAGTGCAAAAACAGAGAAATAGATCGCTCAGCTATGTCCCTTTTTTTTCCTTTTGTTATTATTATTATTTTTTTTAGTTTTTCTTCTTTCTCTTTACCGTTCACTAGATAGATATAAAAGAAAAACGGATCGCTCATTTTGCTTTTCTTATAATTTCATTTACAGCTACTTGATTTGTTTTTTTCCTCTCTTCTCTTTTCTCAATTATCATTTCTCTTTTCTGTTGTCAAATGTTCATATTGGAATGATACTTGCCTATATTAATAAAAATGAGAGTCAATTTTATTTTATTATTATTAGTATATCTATCACAAATTGTTGATTGTTCGGATATATATTCGCTTTTTACATCAAATCCAAATGAATTTACAAATTCTCAACAAGAGTTAGACGATAATGATCTTGATATGTCGTCTGTGTGGACAAATTCGACACAAGATTTAAATATGATAATAAATGAAAATACAAATAATACTCGAATAACTCAACATTTTTATCGTTTTATGTGGATAATAATTTGTGCATGTGCATCACTATTGACAATATCTGGAAATTTAATTGTTTTAATTACATTTAGAAGAGTAAGAAAAGTGAGTGAATTTGAGATGAATTTAATTTTCTTTTTTCTACTTATATATTTTTTGCATGTTTTTTTACACTCATATACAAAACATAGACAACAGTTATTATTATCCGGATAGTTATGATAGAAAAACACCAAAAATTTCTGATTGATTTTTGTCAATCAGAAATTTTTGTTTCAAATCAATTCTTTGTGACATACGTTTAGTGAACATTTTTGTTTTTTAAAGATAGTCATTAAAAACAAACATGTTCGCCTGTTTACACATGAATGAATTATACTGAAGGATTTATTGCAAGAGATTTTTTTGCAACAATACATAAACGATTATTTTCTCTAAATAAATGTATTTTTGAAAATACTCGTGATATAAGTGAACGAATGTTGTTAGTAGAATCACCTTTTCTTTGACAAGTCATGTTTGTAAGTTAAACTAAAAAGGTTAATCCGATCGACATCAATGTATCGTTTTCTTTGAAAGCAAATATTATCATGAGATTCAGAAAGACTAAAAACATTACTTGTCCAATGATTATCTTTTTTGATAAGCAACTTCACAACATCTGTATGAAATTTAGATATTAGATATTGAATGTTAGAATAAAGGAATTAACATATGAGACGAGTCTGTCTAAATAGAAGACTGTCTCGACATCGTCATCTAAAAGTTGTCATATGAAAAGAACATAAATTTATTTTTGGAACGCACTAGAACATTCCAGTAAAAATTTTAAAAATTAAAACAGTGAAGAACCTCCCGATCTTTTATTGTGACAACCCCTTTAACTCTATTTACTGTTAAAATTTAAAATTCTTTCTGATATAAAAACATACGCCTGACTGTCACGCTGAAAGTCGTGTGCAAAATTGATGTATTTTCTCTATGTAACTATTTGTTGAATCTTGACTTTATTCTGTAAAAGTTTTTAAATCTCTACTATTCGGCGTATCTCTATTAGCAAACAATCTACGTGTTGAATTTGTGTAGAAATGTAATCTAGAGTTGTTTGTTTCAAATCCATTTTCAAAAGTTTTTTCCCGATGTTTATTCAAGAAAAAGAGAATAAACTTTGTTGTTCAAATTTAAACCATTTCAAAACATAATTCTAACATTTTCATATCATATTAGAAAATAGACCATTGATCATATATCTTCGGATGTAGTCAGTTTACTTTGAGAAGTTTTATCAAATTCTAAAAGTAAATGCGTATGATAGTCGATTATATTAACTAAAAATTGTTCAGTACATTTCACAATTCTACCTTTCTCATTCAAAGATGAAATGATAACACTTTTCAAGAAAGAAGATATTATTGTTTTTCTGTTGTCTAAATCTGCATAAAATTATTTGCTTTTAATATTTGTATAATAATTAGATAAATTTAATTTCAATTTGAATTAGTTTTATAGCGTAATTAAATTCTTGGCGGTAATATTTTTTTTGATTTAAAACGTTCTTCTAATTTCTCATTATTGCAGTTTTTTCCTCATTTAAAATAACCTTAGACATCACTAGATCATTTCAACCTTAAAACATAACAACTTGACAAATTTTGAACTCTTTTTTAATTAAATATCAGTAACTCGGCTATTGACTGAGTTGTTTAGATCTCTAATTAATATTTCATATATTGTATACCGGTGCAGAATGTGAGAACATGTTTAAATCCTATATAGTTTGGATATTATTAAATGTAAACAGATTTTTTCATATTATTCCTTTTCTATATACCTCTATGGGTCATGTAGAACGCTTCAAGAGGTCATTACACGATATAGTACTTAATAAATAATAAAACATAATTCAATTATCTTGTTCTGTAATTATTAAACTCCATTTTAATACAAAAGTAGCATTGTACTAGTGAAAAAATGAAGTAAGTGAATTGACTAATGTATGCATAATGATCCTAAAAGGAAATTATTCTAAATAAATGAAATATCTGAATATTAGCATTAGAAAAAGTTCACAAATTGTGGATTAGGCATTTTATATAAATCATTGTTTTTTTATCCGTTTTGTCTGTAATTGAAACGTTCATTTTTACAATTCCGATCGCTTTTCATTTAAAGTAATAATTTATCACTTTTTGAGTTATTTTAGTCTCGAAAAGGGCAGATAATTAGTGTATTGTAATGTATGCTTAAAAATAGTTCCATTATGAATCAAAAAAGAGAATGGATATGCATTAGATCGTGTTCAAAGTGCAGTCCGAGCATGACAAAAAAAACACCGTTAAACAGACGTTATCATCTAGAGTAAAGAAGCATTTATCTAACTTGAATCTAACTTTAATGATATAAATATAAGTTTCATCAAAAATTTTAATTGAGTTTAATGTTTAACCAGCTGTTGTCGACTAATTCGACAATAAAGTGCACGATATGATATCAACGGACTTGCAACTAAATAAATATATCTTTATTCTAGCTACTTAGAAATGAACAATGCAGTTATTTTTGACACTACATTCTCTTGTTTAAAAGAAATAAAATATTTGTAAAAACAATAATAGTTTTGATTTAACAAGCAATTTTTTTATTAATACTAGCAAAAAAAATAGTTATCGAAAGAGAAAAATTCGTCTTGTTGGACAAAACAGATGACAAAATGATCGTTGATTCCGTCTCAAGTTTGTATACTCACACTAACTTTAATACAAAATACAAACATATTAATAAATTTTCTATAGTTTGATAATATTAATTCTGTTAAATTTACTTTTCAACATTGTTTCTCAATTGAAAGACTTTAAAGTTGATTTTGTATTGATTTGGTCAGCTAAACCTATCCTATGTTAATTGAAATCCTTTCCTCTTATTGATCAAAAAAATCTTTTTTTCTAGAACAAAATCGTTAATCAGTTAAATATGTAATATGTCTATGAATAAGAAATATCTAATTTAAATTTTTTTCTTTTTCTTTCAGGTTGGCAATTTGTTTATATTGAGTTTAGCTACAGCCGATCTCATTGTTGGATGCTTTGTGATGCCAATTGCTGGAATTTATGCTATTATGGAAAGTTGGAATATGGGTAAATATTATAAGACTTTTTGTCGTTTTTTTTTTATTATTTTTCAAACGTTAACAGTGTATAATGTGACATGGGTGGTGTCAACTTTTTCAATCTAAAGTTCATTAATCACTATTACTTATTTATTGTTAGATGACGAAGTTCTTTTTTTCTTCCTTAAAAATTTATGAAACAAATTACGCATGATCTCTTTAAATGATTTTACCACACCATCCTATTCACAGGTTGTTATTCTTTAATATTGATAATGATGCCATTAAAATATAAGATTTCTACAATATGTTATAAGTGACAAAACAGAATGTTATAATAGATAAGTTAATTTGAAAGAAATAATCAAGAGAGAAAAATAAAATTGATAATTATCTATTTAAGTCTTATTATTACTAATTTATTATATACAATATTTTCTATATGTTTCTTTTCTATAAATATAACCGTGTGTAAGGAAGGAAAAGAAAGCAAAATATCAAATTCTTTTTTAAATGAATCTCGAAGATAAAATATTTTTATTTTGAAAATAGAAAAAAAAAAAAATGAAAAAAAAAAGAAAATGATATTCTAATGAAACAATCATCTCTTCATAGATTAAATAATAATAATAATAATGATAATAATTTTCTAACAGTGATAAAATAGTTACAGCCGCTTCTATGTTAGAGTGATAACAATTTTTGTTTACTTTTTACTTTTTCTTATTTAAATAAAGCTTAAATCTATAATAATCATAAATTAAGGATCCATTCAAAAAATTTCTTTTTTTCTATATTCTACAATTGATTGTAATCAAACTATTCGTATTTAAAGTGAGCAGATTATAATAAAAACTTTCACTTTGTTATAAACAGAGCTCGACAAGTTCAAGTTTAAAATTGAGCATTTAGTGGAATTCGAGTTACTCCTTTTCCTTTTATTTTGAAACTCGGTTTCAGCTCCAAAGTGTATCACTATTCGCAGATAAGAAATAAGCCAAAAATAAAATATCTTTTAATAATAGATTGTTTAATTGTTTTGAAATAGAGAAGAGTAATAAACATTTAATTCTTTTTACTAATGCTACATCATATCCTCTGCTTCATTAATTCGTAATGACAGGACTACGTCAAGCTACTAGTACATCTGTGGAAGAAATATGTAATAAATTCTTTTAATGAGACGTTAAAGAATGCATTATTATCAAAAATAACATTAGTTAATTGTAATTTTAATTTCCTTTGAAGTTTTGATATTTTATAGTCAATTATGTTACATTCTGAAAAGTTTTGTATGACATTGTCACAAAAAATATATTAAATCATTTGAAAACGTCTGACACACATTTTCGATTTTCACACTATTTTTAGACAGTGTACAGTAGAGAAAAAAACACATAAAGAATAAATAAATGAAAAACAAAAACGTAGTAGTTGAATTAGATCTATTCAGCTTCAGTTATCGGTAATATAAAGATTAAACATAGAACTATTCGTAATGTGAATTTTTCTACATGATAACAGCTAACAAGACCAAATTTCTCTTTAAATTACAATGAACAATCCAAATCTAGGATATGTGATGAATGCATATTTTATCAGTTTCTTCTTCTTTGCTTTCTACTGCATATTCAAAATTTAAACGTCATAATGTGTAGTTTTATGACAGTAGAAAAAAATTTAAAAATCACCTTTGATAAGTTTGTGCTTCTTTATTACATCTTTAGACAAAAGGAAGGTTTATTAACGTACAATATATCGTTCTTAAAAATTATGCAAGCATGTTACTGAAGAACAGTAGCGCTAAAATCACTATCAAAACTAGATACTGTCTATACGTTAGTCTTACTATCTCATCATGATTCGTTAACATTTATAATATGACTATAACTCACAATTATTATGTCAAATTACTCAGTAACAGTTCTAAGTCAATATCATAATAAAAATTCAACCTTCATCTTGTTTAGCAATTGTGAATAGTTACGGTCTAGTCCCGTCAGCTTTCTGTCAGTGTCAATTACGTTTATTGTCAAAGATGATAATATTGTTTTCTTGTTATTCTATGCTCATTCGGGTGCACATCCGTGAAACTAATCAAAAATGTTTGGTTGGCTTCAAACATGAATATTTTCTTGTTTTTTTGTTTTTGTCATAATTAAGTTGAAACAATAATTTAAGTAGATGAAGAGATCATTACTGTTCGCACGACAATAAAAAACACGATCTAAGTTGAAATTGTTTCATATGCTAAGTGTGACACGAATCCTTTTATTTAGTTCATTTAATTAAAATTTGACTGTAATGTGATAAAGTTGCATCCTTGTTCTGCTGAATAAATCCTCGTTTGGCATAGAAGAGATTTATTTCATCAGTTCGTTGGAGTTATAATGATCATCAATATCTCTGCCACGTTTAACCCATTCACTACCGTATACGTCGAATGACGTACGCATTCACGTCATATATTTCAGCATATGTGGCAGTGAATGTAGTAAAATAGTCTGTTCTATTTTAACTCATAGAGTGGTACATAGTACGATTCTGAAAAAAATATTCAACTCATTAATCCTTTCACTGGCAACCAGATATTCAAATACTATGCCCTACACTAGTAGGCAATCTTAAGCAAAATGTTCCAAAATGAGCAACCCAAAATGCATCCCACTTGCAACATTTTAGGTGTGCGCGGAGCACGTACCGGCGAAAGGATTAAGACAAAGTGCCGAATTTTACTTATAATTTCTTTAATATAGGTATATAGGTAAGCACGTAATACCCTTCAGTCATGATAGATCTCTTGAACTGGTTTTTAATGCGTAGTTATTTTGAAAGTCAGCATGCCTTAATATTTTAAATACAATATTGAAGATTTTTAGTCGTCTTGAAAAACTAATTATACATTTTGTATATAATTAAATTTTGTATATTTTACTTATGAAATCTAAAAGTTTTAATATATGAGAAACAGAGCTAATCGGTTGCATTGAAAACTGCTGAAACCTGGATTTCTTTTTTTCTGGAAAATTTTTTGTTTTCTTTCAATCGCTCTATAACTTATTCCCTCGGGCCTATCTTTTTTTCATACTATTTGTGATATGAACAAGTAAAAAAATGTTGTAGATATCTAAAAAAGGATGAGGTAAAATGTAATTCACTTAAACAAAAGTGTTAATACGTAACAGAAAAGACTCAAGAAAAAATATATGAAAAAAACCTGCTGCTCTGATGTAAAATGACGTGTTGCGCGTGCTAAACTTTTATAGTTTTAACTTCGACTTTTCGATATTTGGACTAATTCTTCGAAAATTTTGTATAAGAATCGACCAACTACACTGCACTATCTTTTAAGAATTTCTTAGAAATGCTTCATTCTTTCTGTGTAATACTCAAGCAGAAGTCCTTCAATGACTGATCTCCAATATGATCCAGTTCGGCTATAAAACATAATGAGAAATTCGAATATAGTGAAAAGAAACTGAACAAATGTTATCGAACTCAAAACTATAAAAATCCAAAATCTAGAAATGTTGAGCAGTCCATTACGCATATATTTAGACCAAAAAAAGCGTATGATATTGGAAGTCTAGAAAAGAGAATTTTCATTCTCTGTTCACTTAAAGAGAAATATTCTTTTTCATATTTCTTTTTATTATAGGCCGTGTACTATGCCAAATATGGTTATCCATCGATTTTTCTGCTTCTACAGCCAGTATTTTCAATTTATTAACATTAAGTTTAGACCGTTATTGGTCAATAATATCACCATTACAGTATTTAGGAAAACGAACTCAAACAAGAGCATTATTCATGATCGGTTTTGCTTGGGGTCTCTCTATCTTGTGGATTATACCTGTCATCGGATGGCATAAATTCACAAATGAAGGAATCAGAGACGTACATGTAAGTTGTCGTTCGACACACAAAATCAAATCAAAAACATAAACAAAGACAGTAGCGAATCATTTTACAACTTCAATCGTTATATAGTATATAGGAAAGAACACTGAAATTGACTTTTGCAGATCATCTGCAAACGGCAAGTTAGTGTCTTCTATTCTCATTTTTTGCAAAACTAATTTTATATTTTGATAGTTAAGTATATGTTGCTTTTTCCAGAAAAACTGTCATTCTAAGTTTCATTTTTAAATAGCTTATCAACATTTCAGTTTAAAAAAATATATTAATCGATTTAGGATAATCAATGTGAACCCGAATATACTCGTAGTAAAGTATTTAAAGTAACAACAGCAATTATTAACTTTTACCTTCCACTCGTCGTTATGATGTTATTGAATGGTCGAATCTATTATGAAATTAAACGACGATATAAAAATGCTCTTCTAAACAATAATTCCTATACAAAACGTTCTGTAAATGCAAATGGTGTCCACAATCGATACAATAGTGATCGTGGTGGTGGTAATATTGAAATTACAAGATGTTCGGATAGTGACAGGCAATTGTGTACTAAAAATTTAACCGAAAATGATAGTCTAACAAAAGCCAACCCAAAAATAATACCAATGAAAAAACGATATCAGTCAACAAATGCTCGTAACAGTAACATTGATAGTGATATGAGTGATAATAGTATTTTAAGAATTAACTTTAAAGAGAAACGAAATTTGTTACTTATGTTGAAACAAAAACCGCCATCCTTAGCATCAACAAGAACAATAACAACCACTGCAGCTATTATTAAGCCAATAAAATACTCGACAAGACAATATCCAACGATAGATCAAATCGCCACGGTATGATTTTGTTGTGAAAGGAAGTTAATTTGTTCTGATGACAAAATATATTCAATTTTAGGAACGTCGTGATCGAAATGGAAACTCGCATCCAAATATTTATTATAAAATCGATCGACAGGATTATCCTTCGTCATCGAACGGGTATAAAACACGAAAATTTTTTACTCGTGCCGATAGCATCGAGTCTAATACGAACGATCTTATTACACGAAATCATGTCGGAATACGAAAAGGTTTAAATGTTGATGAACGTTGTTTTAAACACACGTATGATTATCATTCATGTAGAATATATTCGAGTGATGAGCAAATAAAACAACAACAACAACGATCGTCGCCTCGCCGACGAAAAAAGATGAATGGTCTTAGGTATAATAAACGTTGTGCTAGATCAACATCGAGCACTGGATCTACAGATACATGTCGTCGTTGTTCTTTTTGTGATCACCACCATCATTCAACATCATGTTTCACCTATCACTATCGAAACACGACCGCACCAGATACAACAACCAGTACTCGGCAACGACAGTTGTTTTTTAATTTATGTCAGTGTACAATGCGGGAAGAAGAACGCAATATATTTACAATTCATTCAAATCCGTTAGCCATGACATCGCATGATAGTAACAATGTCGGATTACATCCACCAATACCATTAATTGATGAAGTTGACTCATCTCGAATGCGAAAGCGTTCACTTATTTCTGTTGCATCGCGTCAAATATCGAACTCTTCAACGTCATCACTTTCACCATCGACACGAACATCACTAGTCAAGCCAAAACGTTTATCGTCATTTAGAAAACCGAATATTACCGCGATAAACATGTATAGTGGAACCAGCGGAACTGCTTGCGTTAGCAGTGTCGGTTCGACAACAAATAGTACGAGCGGTGTAAGGAATGCTCGTGGTGGCAGTGGTATAACGGGTAAACAGACAATGTGGAAACAACAGGAAAAAGCATTTCGTCAACTAATCTTGATTGTACTTGGTTTTATGTGTTGTTTTCTACCATATTTCATTTTGTATATGGTCGTAGCGTTTTGCGGAAATTGCATATCAAATCGTCTAATAACAATGTCCACCTGGTTAGGATATGCAAACTCAACAATAAATCCATTTTTATATGCTCTCAGTAATGAACATTTTAGACGAACATTTAATCGAATATTAAAACGTGATCAAAGAAGACAGTCTTATTATAATTAATTAAATCTTGTTGTTATGTTTTCTATGTACAGTTTTACAGTTGATCGACAACAGAATATTTTGGTGATATTTGTAGGTAATATATTGAATAAATTTTTGATTTATTATTAATTATTGAACAATCAAAATTTTGTCATCAACTAACTGTGACTTCTACAAATAGTCAGTCACATTGGAGAATTATAATAAGTTGATGTATATACATAGAAAATTGATTTCTTTTAATTCTTCAACACATTTTACGACAGTAGATAGTTGAGAGTTTCATCCATCTGTTAGTATAATACGTTCTTTTCCGGTCAAAAAATGATTTAACTGTTTCCAAAATACGTGAAACCTTCAGATGCTGACCATAATTACTTCGTATTACTCTAAAATAGAAATGTTTGTTGTTAATTTGTCTAAGTAATTTATGATTGTATTCTATCGCATAATACTTCATGCATTTAGAAGAGCCACAGTTTTGTTCATTATAGACAGGGTCGTTCTAGTCACCATTTTATAGTGGTTTTCAACATAGTGTTTTTTTCACTGAATAAATAGCTCAAAATGTGTTCATCAAAATGATTTTCAGTCGTTCAGATGTGATATCGGATTTCCTTGGCTCACCAGGAGTGATACATGATGATTTTGAGTAAACGCGGAATCTTACGGAACGCATATAATTGATCATAGTGAATTTGGTGAGAAGATTTGTTTTCTAAAAAGAACTCAAACTCGATGAAAAACGAGTTTCAAAGTACATTATAATGGGCAGAAATCTTTAGGACATGGTTAATCTTATCCGCAAAACGTGATTATATGATTGGAAAAATTGAAAATCTGTTCTTTTAAAGATTCTTTATTCAACGGATATAAAATAGCCTGAAAATTGTACATTCTAAAGATTTCTGCCCATTATAATATACTTTGAATGAATTGTAAATTTTTTGATCTTACGAACCGATCGTTGCGTGAAACAGTCTGGAACGCCTACTTTACGTAAAACTCGTTTTTCATCGAGTTTGAGGTCTTTTTAGAAAACAAATCTTCTCACCAAATTCACTATGATCAATTATATGC